GGGGGGGCATGTTTATATGTTTATTGTTGATGCAGTTGAGGGAACAGTCAGGTTTAGTTTGGGAGGAGGGGGGGCAGTAGATGTTTGTTATCCGTGCAGATGACGATAGAATGAAATGCCAGCAGAGGGGCAGGGGTGTGTGTGTGGGTAATAAGCTCATCAGTGAGCAGCTCTGGCGTTATTCACTTAACTACACTCGACTACGCATCTGATCATTTTCCCTGGATGAAGTGTCTTTGGATACCCGATACGGTACAATAGTGCCTGGATTCTCTCGAGCTTTTGCACCTAAAAGAAGTTGTCTTACAGTTCTCCCATGTTTGAAACAAATTAAATGTAGAACAATAAACCTAACTGAGAAAGACTGTGAGATAAAGTAGAGTAAATGAGGAGAGGATGCTGAAGTTTTTGTTTTGGGAAATTGCTGTTTCTGAGGTCAAAAGTTATTTATATAATGTAAGATACCAGAAAAATGTCTATTATCTGGTGTATCTACAAGACTGGTGACTGGAAGATGCACCACCCTGTTTAAAATCAGAGGTGTGACTTCCTTAAGTCAGAAAATGAAAAAGGCTTCTTTAATTTGATAAATAAGCAAATATAAATAAATATATTTTGTAGTATTTTATCTGAAATCTTTTACCTGAGAAATGAAGGAATCTTTTTTATAATTCATCTTCAATGTTCTCAATTTGTTAAAACATAGTGAGAAAATCATATTGTGAACCCAGTATCATGAATTGAATCAAATCGTGAGTTAAGTGCATTGTTACAGCCCCAGTATGTCTATGGAATATGAGAGTGTATTTAATTTTATATTGTCTGTCCATGCAGGATTTAGATAAACTACATTTACATTCCTCTGAGCAGAACATAAACTCAGATATTTCCTGCCATCAGCTCTTTCTCTACCGCAAGAAAAGCTACATCCACCAGCCCAATGAACACACACTCAGAAAAGGCTAAATCAAACCTGGCAGCCTCGTTACCTCCAGGCTACAACTCTTGCTGGAATCTCATACATCCACTCTACGCTGTGTTGTGGAAGTGTAATCGGGGGTCCCTCGTATACGCCATTAGGATGCGCCACAGCGAGAGACCCTGGAAGGGGAAAACCACTTGTTCCTCAGAGACAGATCACGAAGGAACAGTGGTGCTACTATGCTGCCTGTAAATTGAGCCTTTCTTCCTGTGAGAGGGTGACATGGTGGAATGCTGCACATTAATGTGGACATGGGTGGGCTCCTCATTCCTGTCATAGCATCTCTCTCTTCCCTTTGACCCACCATGACTTTCTTCTCTCTTTTTTTGCGCCTCCCTGCCTCCTTTTGAGTTGTGTGTCAACAGGGTGTGGATTCAGAACTGAGTTGTTTCTTCAGCATAATTCAAGTTCTTGTAGTCACAGCTATTAACCTCGAGGAATCCTTAACAAAACTCTTAATTCATGTTATCTGTCAGTGAATACTAGATAATATCGACTGATATATGTTTATTTAAGTGTTTTGGACTCTTAAATATGCACATCAGTATATGTGTCTAGTTAGTACATGAAGCATGTATTAATGCAATATTTCCATCACATTTTCGTTTATTTGAGGTTTGACTGGCACCATTTGACAGTTGCTGGCTCAGCTATCAACGAGTACATCATAAAGGAGCATTTCAGTTACATCAACAAAGATCTTTAATGAACATTTCTTGATTAAAAAATATTAAGGATGTATTTAAAACTCACTTTGACATGAGTTAGGAGTGACTGACTGTGATTGCACTTGAAAATGAACAGATGTATTCAACAACAACCATATGCTCTTTCTCTTTTTCAGCGTGGGCCAATGTGGAGGTGAACATGGAGGGAAGAGTGGAGGTGTACAGGGGACAAACAGCTCAGATCGCCTGTATGTTCTTATCGTCGGATGACATCGGCGGGTTGACCATAAAGTGGTACTATGTGAGTTTCCTCAAGCCTGACGCACACATACACAGAGAGCTGTGCTGTGTCTCTGCATGTGATGTTTATGTGTTTGAACTTTATGAACTTTTAGGTGACACGGTCGGGTGAGAAGCAGAAAATTATCTACCAGGACTCCACCATGGTAAAAGTGGAACAAGGCACAGTGTTCACAGACCGGATCCGTGTGAATGGTACTGGAGCCACTGGACAGGTGGTGTTGAGTATCAGCAATGTGCAGGTGCACGACGAAGCGGAATTCATCTGTACCATCGGAAATCTAACAGACGGAACCGGGGAGGGACGCACAAAGCTGAAGGTGTTTGGTAAGATTCAGTCTGACATGAAACCTCATTTAGCCTTTTTTACATCATGGCCTTTTCAGATTTGTTCAAAACTTCAGCTTTATTTCGCCTTTTCTCCAACAAACGCTCTTTAATTTCTTTTTACTCCCACAGTTTCCACACTTAATTCATGCATCACTATTGCCTAATTTCCAGTACACGGCTCGGATCGACCGGACTCACTTGGAACTGTTCTTTTTTGGTTTTCCATTGGCAAAAGTTGTAGATAGTACATGCTACCTGTTTTGGTATCACCTCCAAGCCAGCTTAGCCAATACTAAAAGTTGGAGTGAAAACACTGCAGACCACTGATTGGTCAGAGAATATTCACGGAGCAACTAGAGTCGCCTCGTCTTGAGACCCACTCAAATCTAGTGCTTTCCTTACTTACACTTAAACTTCAGTTGCTTTCAGCAATTACATGTTAGTTAACACTTGGACTGTTACTACTTTCAGATCACACACTTTGACTTTGCATCTGCTCACAATGCTATTGAAATGCACATTAACTGATATTTCAACTTTTTTCATTCAGTGCTCAGCAGTTCAACTGCTTTCAGCAAATACACTAACAGCAGATTTTTAGAACTTTCACTTTGACTGAAACTAACACTTTAACCTCAACTCCCTCAGTGCTTACAATAATACCTCAAACCTGCAATATGCAAAGACAATGAAACATTTCCGAACTATTCTCAACTGCAGTATACAGTATCAGCTGCCAAAACACTGAGAATATTTTCTAGTTTGTGATTCGGTTCTTAATTCCTGTACAGAAATACCGGACAATCCTACCATTGAGGCTGTAGAGACAGGGATCTCCATCAACGAAAACAGCCTATCAAAGGTAAAGAAGCTGAAACATCACATCACAGTATAAAAAGTTTACAATTTAACTGTAGCCTGAATTTGTTTTTCTGTCAATTTCTCTCCTCTCCTACAGATTGGCGCATGTCAGGTCAAAAATGGCTTCCCTAAGCCAAACATCACTTGGTACAGAAACGACACGCCACTGCGCAATGTTCTCGATGGTGAGACGGATTGACAGTGACGCCTGCGATGCACTTCTTCACTGTTTAAGTTTCTGCTTAATGTAGTTTAATGTATTTTCCTTTCTTTCCCTTGTCCCGTGTTTTGTGTCTTCCAGAGGTGAAAGTACAGACGAGCACCACAATTGAATCCAGTCACCTGTTCTCAGTTAATAGTGAGCTGAGCTTGAAGGTGGTGAAGGAGCACAAAGATGATCTGTTCTACTGTCAGATCACCTACTTTGTTCCTGGAGGACTCAAGATGACCGAGACCGACCGTATTAACGTCACTGTATTATGTGAGTGTCACACACAGTCCAACACGTAACAAGTTTCTTTTCTAGTGACATTTAACTGCTGCCGCAACTTGTATATGGACTGAAAATGATAGTCTTGTTTGTGCCCTGATATACTTGGAGTCGCCTCTTTTCACCTATCAACAAAGTCTCATCAGGAGGGTATGATGCACTCAGAGGTTGGGATGAGGAGGAGGTTTTATCCTAGTTGCTGCAGGGAACTGTTTTGGCCATCACATAAACCTTCTGAAACTTAAAGTTCTGACCTTGAATTCCTATCTCTGTTTCAGACCCCTCTACGGCTGTAAATGTTTGGGTGGAGTCACCAAAGGGCAAAATCAAGGAAGGGGACACGATCGAGCTACATTGCCATGGCAACGGGAATAATCCATATGAAATTACAATCAAACATTTAAAAGTAAGAAAATCAACCCTTTTGTGCTCATTATTTACGCACCAAAGGCAGGAGCATAGTTTATTCCTCAGCAGATGCAGTCCAAATTTGCGGGTTTTTTTTAGCACTTTGACTTTGTTGAGTTAAAAGTTATATGTTAATCAGAATACTTTGGTTTTTTGTAGAGTGGAAAGAGTTGGGACACTGAGATGTTGGTGCTGAAAAATGTGACCCTTCTAAACAGTGGAGTTTACCAGTGTACCTCTCTGGACATGGAAACCTATCAAGATATCTCAGGAAATACCTCTGTGTTTGTCAACTGTAAGAAACCTGCCCTCATATGATTTTCCAACAAATATATTTTACCAGCAGTATGACAGTATGTGCCTGGTTTGAATTCTCTCTCCCTGCTCTGTCTGTAGTTCTCCATCCTGCTGAGGTGAAGCCAGAAGGCCCTCATGTGATGGCTCAAGGAGACGAGCTGACAGCCACCTGCAACGCCCTCTCTTCTCTCCAGACACACACAGCCTGGTTTAAGGTAACATACACACATACAGTAAATGTACCAAATTGCACTATGTATTTTACTTTTGAGACGGTCATTTTGTCCGATTCAAGACCCAACAGACAAATTTGGTGTCTCCCCGGGAACCAAACATACATGGCTTTCATACAGGCGTATAACTGACCGCCTCCACTCATTTCAGTGAGGGAAAAGCAACAGAAGAGAAGCAGTTTCAGTCATAGTTGTAGGGGTATAAAGTGGTTGTCGCCCACATGCACACACATAGATTTTGCTCTGCCTGGTGGCAGCAGCCAGTTTTGCTTTTATAAGCTCTTCCTTGTATTTTCATTTCAACATGGAAATGTGTTTGACCTCTCCAGCTGAGGTAACGTTGAACGTGATATCATCTCAGCCGGAGAGGTCAAACATGTTTCCAGGTCCCGGGTTTGCAAGAAGGGAAAGGTGTTTTGTCCTTTCTTAGACTCAGAAAAGGTGCAGACCAATGTTTACATTTCAACTATCGTTATGGGAGTTTATCAAGCAGACGTGGGTGAAATTAAAGTTGTTTTTCTTTTTCACATCTCTTTATTAGTTGAATCTAAAGTTTAACATTTGATGAAATAAACATTTGTTGAAATTTCCCTGCACAACTTTTTTTAAATCAGCTGTCTGATCTACAAAAAGTGAGCACACTGGTAACCTCTGCTTCATATCTGTGTGTGTTAAATGTGCTTTTTGTGTCCTGATGTGTGTGTAGAACGGAAAGGAGGTTTCAAAGGACCACACTTTGATGCTGAAGGACGCTATGTTTGACACAGCGGGGGAGTATGTGTGTGTGGTGACTGTTCCTGAGATTGAGGGAATGGAAACCAGTAGGACACTTCTTGTTTATGTCCAGGGTAAATCTGTTTACAGATACTGTATAATGAACATTGCTTAAAAATAAGAAATATTGTTATATAATGCAATGATTCCATAGTTCCATTTATATTTTTTATTTGTAGTTTAAAGGAGAGCATATTGTATTTGTATGTTAGCAACATGTCCTGTTAGCAGTTGGCCATGGGAGAACTTTTCATGGTTATTATTTCTTGCTCCTCTCTCCGCAGGCCAACCAAAGATCATGGAGCCAGAGAACACTGAGATGGAGAATGTTGAGGAGACAGTCAACCTGACCTGCAATGCCAGAGGTTTCCCTGCTCCCAAGATTATCTGGACCACCTCTGATGGGGAGGTACAGCAGAGGAAAGCCTCCCATTCTTGGTTTATTAAGTGGATTTCTGTACTTTTCTTCAGTCTGTTCCCGTCAGAGCTGCATTCAACCCTCAGATCCAACCTATGCAGAAAAAAGAGGAACCTTTCTGCTGGTGGACCTGTTTTTCTCTTTCTTTAACTGTGTGGTTTTGTTTGTGCCAGGTCCTCCATGCATCGCAAAGGGAGACTGAGGAGGGCGTTCACAGTGTGGTCACTGTCAAGGTCACCTCTGACATCACTGTTTTCTGCAATGCCTCCAACGAGCACGGTACAGACGGGGTGACCTTCAACATCAAAGCCAGTGAGTTCCTCCTGCTGCTCCCGTTTCCTGTCTCTGCTCTTTGTGTTTGTATGCGTTTACTTCTCTATCTGTTGTCCACTTCACCCTTCCCTTCTGTTCCTCCCTTTTTTTAGTCTGTGTCACTGCTTTGTTTATTTTTACTTCGTCCGAAGGCCTCGAGCTCTGCCATGTGCTGTGATGTGTTGCCTGTCATTCTGGACATTTCGATCAGTGTTGAAACAAGACGCTGTGAAGCTGTCTGGCTGTTAAATGTGCTCCCCTCCTCCCCCCAGTGTGTTAACGTGAAGTGTCCTCCCTTCTGTGCCTCTAAATGTTTTCAGCTAATATCACCACCACCATCACACCAGCGCCCAACACCACCACCACACCAGACCCCAACACCACCACCACACCAGACCCCAACACCACGTCCACCACGTCCACCACGTCCACCATCACTTCTACTATTACCCCTACTATTAGCATTTCCTCTTCCACAGGTAAGACCACAGTCACTTTGCCTGCCTACCGAACGCACCTGAGTCAAGTCAACTGCAAAAGTTTAGAAAATGAATATATCAAAAGAAATCCCATGAAAAGGACTTAACTGAGAGTTGTACGTCTGCATGTTCAGTGTTAGGTGGTGGACTTCCTTTCACTCACAGGCTGCCTGTGCTGTTTTTCTGTGAGTCAGACTGAAAGTATGAGAACGAGAAAGGAAAACTAGAAAGCACTTGAAGACTGCGGCAATTACCACACTGGCATGGCTGAAAGGTCATTAGAGAAGTGTGGGTTTGTGATCGTGCTGATTACAAACTGGTTCATACCAAAGGTATTTATAGTTTTAAATGGATGATATTACTGAGGTCTGTTATAGCTGCAAGGTGTCTTACTGACTAATTTGTTGGCACAGCTCTTATTTTCTGATTTAGTTATTATGTAATTAAACTTTATTTGCTTATATGTGGTCTACATATTATTGGAAAATGAAAACATGCAACATTAGAGGAGGTTCCTATCCTAGAAAAATAATCTATTAAATGATTGACTTTGCACATTGCCATCTGCATACAGCAGCAGAATTATGAGGAATGAATTTTGCGTCCCTTTTAGCATTATGGCGTCCAGATTCATTCTCGGTACACAACCACAAACACATGCATCAGTGTGATTTTAGAAAGCAGCTGATGCTTTAAATGCACTCAGAGTGAGTCTCCTGACTCCCATTATGGGTGGTGCCTTGTGTTTCTCTCCCTTTCTGCCTCCCCTCTCTCTCTCTCTGTCTTTCTCTCTCTTTGTCCCTTCTACTTTTGACCCCAACTAGGTATCTCTCTTCCTCTCCCCACCTTCGAGTTGCCTTAAGGAGATTTCAAAGCCCATTCGGTAGCAGCCCTAACTGCCAAACTGATGGCCAGATAAAGTCCCCATTTACCTTGTCCTCAGTTTCCCATTAAAGACCATTTTTGGGGACTGTAACTTTAGAGGAAATGGGAAGGAGCGTGGAGAAAAAAGAAATCAGCCACTCGGCCACCCTTAAGCCCTTTTTGCTGTTTATTCGCGGCAGCATGAAGAAGGAAAGGACGTTTTTAGAGGAGGAGAGGAAGGGAGAGAAGTAGAAATAGGACTGAAAAAGGTGACTTGAAGTGTCAATGGCCTTGTCCCCATAGGAAGGCATTGCAGTGCGTAGCTACACCCTCGGGCAAGGTAGC